AAAAAAAAAAAATCAGCTCTAGCTGGTTTACCTCAGTGGTTAGAGTCAGCTCGAGAACTGAAGGGTCCCGGGTTCAATTCCGGTCAAGGGCACGTACCTGGGTTGCAGGCTCTATCCCCAGCCCTGGTTGGGGCACATGCATGACGGAGGCAACCAGTTGATGTATTTTTCTCACACAGTGATGTTTCTCTCTCTCTCTCCCCACCCCCTTCCACTCTCTCTGAAAAGCAATGGGAAAAATATCCTCAGGTAAAGACTTAAAAAAAAATCAATTTCCTTGGTTGGGAAAAAAAATTTGCGTAATTTTTCCCTGAAGTTTTAGCATAATCCTGATGCTTGGACTTCCAGGAAGAAATGCAAACATAGTATCAGTTAGAAAGCCTCTCTAAAACAGGATGTATATCCTTGCAGATTAAATTTGGGTATTACTGCCTTATCAGGGGCAAGGTTTGAATTAAAACAAGCCCAGTCAGGCGTGACTCAGCGGTTGGGCATCGACCTAGGATCCAAGAGATCTCGGTTTGATTTCTGGTCAGGGCACATGCCCAGGTTGCCGGCTCGATCCCCAGTTGGGAGCATGCAGGAGGCAGCTGATCAGCGATGACTCTCTCATCATTGATGTTTCAACTCTCGTAACTCTCTCTCTCTGAAATCAATAAAGATATATTTTTTAAAAAACAAGACCTTACTCCCTTCTCAAGATGTGGGGTTCCAGGGCCAAAAGCATCTAGAGTACCTGGAAGTCTGTTAGAAAGACAGAATATAGGGCTCTACCTCTCAAGCCAACTAAGTCAGAATCTTCATTTTATTGATATCTGTATGCAGATCTCCCTACATCATAACTCAGAATTGGAAAATTTAAAAGCCTACACACAGATATAAACCTTGCATAACAATGATAACTGATAATGACTATCTCAATCACAAATCCTTTAGCTCTTAAGAGAATTCTTAATTAAGAGAATTTCCCGTAAAATTATAAACCCCATGTCTTGAAACACAGCATAGCTTATTATAGCTGCTGCTTTTGTTAGTGGAAGTCACTGACATAATCAAGTTCTTACCTAATCTGAGTTCTCCGAAGTTCCCACACCCTATCTTCTTGCCAACCCTGAAGTTGGGTCCCACCATAAGAACCCCAGAGGATGTTGAGGAGCCAGATGGTCGGGAACAGTGTGCACTCCTTTGTGCCATGGGTTTAGTGGTCCGCTGTCTCTCATCCTTCTCCCTACTGGGATGGTCCATTATCCTACACGACAGAGTCTCTCCACAATGAGTAGCCTCCGGCTGTATACCTCTCTTCAATACAAAAGTATGTCCAAATAAACCGTAGTCAGAGAAAGGCAAGAACTTCTTTTGGCACCATATTTATGTTCCTAATGTATCTTCAAAGGATGAAAAACCATTGGATTGCTCTTGTAGGACATGTAGTCTGTAGATCTCAATCATAGGAGGATATTTTGTAACCTAGGTAAAAATCAAGAAAACATAGAGTTAAAAATTAAATTTTAAAACAAATTGAGAAAGTTACCACTAATCAGAATGGATCTTATCCAAAACTAAGCAAAGTGGATAGCTTCCTGAAATGGGTTTTGGTTTATATTTTCCAACAGTTTAGCCATCTGGACTAGTTATTCATCAGGTAGCATAAGCTAAGTAGGCTGCACACCATGGCAGCTAAGGGAACACACGAGCCTTTAATATAAAAAGCTCTCTTCTTAGTTCTGTACATGTGACCCAAAAGAAAGTTATTTGTTGGCTTTTTAATCACTAGCTAACAGAAATATATGGGAGGGTTAAACCTACTTAAGTAAACTGAGGACAATTAAAAGTTCTTCCTTTTACATTGGACAGAACCTATCAGAAATGAGGTTACTCACTCTCCCCCTCCTCCAACCCCACCATTTATCAAGCATTGACAGCAATTACACAATCCAAGAACAAGTTACTGAATAGCAGAGGCTACTTCTATAAAGGACTTTTCAAAACCTTAGTGGTACTAAGTAGTCCTAGACTAAAGCTTTGGAAAGCTAAAGCCTTTCGAAAGCTCAACCTTCGATCTAGTTTCATTGTGGACTAAGTAAACAAAGACAGAGTGCTTGAAGCTAATCTTGTGCATAAATCTAAAGTGAAAATAAAGCTGTGAAATAAAAAGTCTTAAACCTCATCCCTGTGGGAATTAGTCTCAAATCAAGACTAAACCCAAGACAAAAGTTTACAATGAAATAATTTCGATGCTATTTTTGATAATCCAGGTAAATATCCTTAACAAAAAAATATTCTTACCATTAAACACATTCTTATGTTTCACTTTCACTAAATATTTTTCTTAAAACTTCAAAGAAGAAAAGAATTAGAACCGCTTGGTTATTGTATGCATACAATAAAGCAAATTAAGAGAGAAAAATCTGGGTGATGAGACAAGGTCAGCAATTACTGCATTTCCTACATGCACAACATTATGAGTTTATATTTTTCTTCAATCTTTTTCATATTTCCAATTGTATCTAATATTCTCTGATTATCTTTATTATTTACCCAAAGTTCCTCAAACAATATGAGTAAAATAGAAATACAATTTAAGACGTTTTTATTTAGATAGTCCCATCTTAACTGGTGGGAATGTGTCTCTGCATGAGAAACTGTCAGGCTATGCTTTCTTCCCTTAATACTATAAAAATTTTGAAGACAGAAAAAGTATGTCTTAGACTAACTCCCAAATTTTCATAAATTATCACTCATATAATAGTCTCATTTATAAAATTTGGAAAACTGTACTACCTGTCTGTTGCTCTTCAGACTTTTAGATACCAATTTTCTAATCTATGCATGGAACATTAGCACAGTTTAATCCATAGTTAATGAAAGATAAATAATATTCAATACTACTTTATGTGGTGCCTCTCATTTAAGAAGGAAAACTAATTGAACAACTGAAATTTTAACAATCCTATTTCTTTTAAAAAATATACGTTTGGCCCAGCTGTCATGGCTCAGTGGTTGAGCACCAACCTATGATCCAGGAAATCGAGGTTCGATTCCCGGACAGGGCACATGCCTGGATTGCAAGCTCAATCCCCAGTGGGGGGGGTGCAGGAGGCAGCTGATCAATGACTCTCATCACTGATGTTTCTCTCTCTCTCTCTCTACCTCTCCCTTCCTATCTCTGAAATCAATAAAAATATATTTAGAAATATAAATATGTTTGTATTGATTTTAGACAGAGAGAAAGGAAGGAGAGAGAGAAACATCAATGAGAGAAACATGGATCAGCTGCCTCCTGCATGCCCCCTACTAGGCATCGATCAAGCCCGCAACCTGGGCATTTGCCCTGACTGGGAATTGAACCAGTGACCTCTTGGTTCATGGGTGTATGATCAACCACTGAGCAACACCAGCCAGGCTACAATCCTATTTATCACCACCCACTGCTCAAAATTATTTTCTACTTCCCAGTTACAAACTCTTTAGCTAGTCATTTGAGTCCCTTCAGTATCAACGCCTTATTTAAATCCATGCTTTAAAAAGCTAGTACATAAACACAAGGAACATCCATTCTTAGCCCTTATACCTAGAATGGCCTCTTAACTCTTCGGTCTTATTTAAGGCCTGATTCATCTCCTATATCTTTTGTGAAACCCTTAATAACCAATTCAGCATTAACACTTGGAGCACCATTATACATTTGCCACCTATCATGTACCAGGTTATATTGGTATGTACTCTAATAGTCAATTGATTATAAACCTTTGCAGTTAAAGATCTTGTCATAGCCCAGCCAGCATGGGTCAGTGGTTGAGCATCGACCTATGATCCAGGAGATCGAGGTTCGATTCCTGGTGAGGGTACATGCCCGGGCTGCGGGAAAATCCCTAGTGGAGGGCATGCAGGAGGCAGCCGATCAATGACTCTCTCATCACTGATGTTTCTACCTCTCTCCCTCTCCCTTTCTCTCTCTGAAATCAATAAAAGTAAATATATATACATATATATATTCATATATATATATATTCATATATATATATATTCACATATATATATTTACTTATATATACATATATATATTTAAAAGATCTTGTCATATTCCCTTAAGTTTCTTGCACATAATTGGTACCAAATAAACACTAAGTAATAATTATAATACTCTTGTGCTTAACAGAAAACAGATTCCCAGTGACATAATCAAATATTTCATACCAAATATTTTACAGCAAATAATAAAAGTAAAAAGAACCCTCATTTACCTTAAGAACTTCTAGAATTCCTCCAGCAGGAAGCTAGTATTATTCCATTTTCATTCAATAGTGTAAAGAAACAGGCTAGTTAGAATTTCCATTTCATAAGGATATTAGTTTATTTACAGTTACTAGCAGATAACATATGAAAAAGTTAGCTCAAGAACCAGGTCAAATAGAATACCCAAGGTAAATAAGTTGTATTTCAACCTTATTTTTAAAAGATGGCTTCCAAGGACAGCAGTAAAAGACAAACCAGATGCTTATATTATCTTTCCTTTTTTAATAGTAAAATAAAAGGGGTAGAGAAATTATATCAATACAATAAATAGATGTTTATTTTTTTTGTGAATAAACTATTGGCAATCACTTGTTACTTATTTATTAAACGTTAAACGTTATGATAGATACATACTTGAATTTTTAGAATCATACCAGCAAGTACCTTAAGAAGACTAATCTTGGTCAGGGCACATGCCTGGGGTTGTGGGCTCGATCCCCAGTAGAGGGCTTGCAGGAGGCAGCTGATCTATGCTTCTCTCCCTCTCCATTCCTCTCTAAAAATCAATAAAAATATTTTTTTAAAAAAAAAGGAAGACTAATTCTAGTAATTTCTGTCAACTTAGGCATGCCTGAACTATAGGAAAAAATATTTTTAAAAGTATGAGATGCCCACATATTCTCTTAATATGAGCTCTCTAGCAGATTAAAGAATTGCTACCTATAGTAAAAGCAACAAATCCAAGTCTGCCGGATTTACATTAGAGATAAAAAATATGGCTACCTTCAGAAGTGGTCAACAAAAATTTTCCTTTACAGACCGCTCTATAAGATGTAGCATTCCTTCACATTGAAATGGGAGAAATTCTAGTAACTACCATTCTGAGTCAACATATTAAAGAAATAGGTCAAAACCAAGAGTTCATTTGGCCCCAAGTCACTCTCTATAAGGCAGCAATAGATGTTTTATGGGAGAGATAGGCACGGTCTTCTATCATGAATGAAATGATTAAAGTAAATGGAATGCTTTATGCCATAGTATTTTGAGAAGTTGCATGAAGTCTAAAAATAATTAAGTCATATTATAAAACCATCAAAGAAAATATTAAAGAATCACAGCTGTGAATCTGTTAAGTGAAAATAAATCACTGATTTACAGTTTATTTCAGATTCTCATATATGGTGTTGTCAAAAATGAGACACATATTTAAATTTTAAAGTCAAAACACACTCAGCCTTTGTTGATAGTCAAGAGAAGAGGCTGCTGGGCTTCTAAATCTCTCTTTTCTGATATAACTTATGATGAAATTGTTTATTGGTGTAGCTGGATCATATGGTAAGGGTATGTTTAACTTTAAAGAATCTCCTAAGTCACTAGACGCTCCTTTCTATTCCTTCATCTACCACACGTTCATTTTGGTTCTAATGCTTACAGCCTCTTGGTCACAAGTTTCAGTTCACGTATCACTTCCCACACCAGTGTCCAAAACAGAAATGAAAGGCAATAGCAAAAAAGCATCTGTTTTTTAGTAAGAATAAGAATTCTTCTCAGAGTTCCCAACAAAAATCCCCTAATGTTGAGTTGCCAGTAGTACTTGCAACAATATCTGAAATTCCCACTGTAAGCGTCTTAAAGAATGGGATGAAAGCCTATGATGTTTAGAACACAGGAAAACCTGAAGAGTAGTTTAATGCCCAAAGAAGGCATTCAGTAAAAATGACATCTGCACGTGTGCATGTGATGTGTGTGTGCTAAAAAACTGCCAAAAATCATAGGACAATAAAAATTATAGGACAATTACGTACTCATTTTAGCTTTTTAAAAAAGGACACAATGCCCTGCCGGTGTGACTCATCGGTTGAGTGCGGACCCATGAACCAGGAGATTGCGGTTTGATTCCTGTCAGGACACATGCCCGGGTTGTGGGCTTGATGCCCAGTAGGGGGCATGCAGGTGGCAGCCGATCAATGACTCTCATCACTGATGTTTCTCTCTTTCATTTCCTCTCTCTGAAATCATTAAAATATATTTTTAAAAAGGACACAATAAAAAACACACACCTCACTTTAATTATCAAAATTGATTTATTTTAGCCAAAATACATTATGGGAGTGCTATTATTAAAGGGAAGAACAATGTTTACAGATTCTGGTACTATTACTATTTCTCTTTTCCACAAATTTCAATTATTAATGTCTCCAATTCTTACCACCCCACCCCCACTGCTCAGT